CAAATACTTTTTGCCTACCAGTTCCATACTGGGCATGTTATTATCCAACAATAACATTCTCAGAAAGGTTATACAAACAATAGCTTATAGCAACTATTAGAAAATTAGTATATTTCATTGATATCTGGAGTTTTTCTTCTATTTTCTTAGAGACTCACCTGATGATAGAAGTCATCGTCATCAAATATTTCTTTGTCATAGTCTTTAAGGTGTGCATTGGCTTCTTCCTGAAATTATAAATATGATTTTGTAATGAATTTCTGCTCTTTRCAAGCTGTTTCATATGACATATATGATATATTATATGGTATTATTATCTGAAAGTTCAATAAATGTGTTACCTCTTGTTCAGTATCACTGGATTTTTCTTTTTCATGTTTCCCCAAAACCTTATATGAACTTCGTTTAAGTTGGGATCTTTTTATCAGCCTTTGTTTATCACTTAAAACCTGAATAAAATTAGGTTTATAATCAAGAAATCCATCTTTCATTGAGTTAACTCTATTAGTGGGCTTTACCTGCTTGATCTGAGACAATGCTGATCTGTCAAATGAGCTGAATGACTGAAAAAATCAAGTTTRTAATAAAGCCATTAATCCATCCATCCATTCATAATCTCATTCATTCAAACATCCTTTCTCATGATTTCATCCATTCACTTCTCCACTCATTAATTTGTTCATATTTCAAAGACATACCTTGCTCTCWAGTTTTCCTGAYGCAAACCTTGTTTTCTCACTCCATTTTGAAATGACTGTATCACGGACATCTTGAAAAGATGCATGTCGTTTTGATATACATTCGCTGAACTCTTCCTGAGACTACAAAAAATAAGAAACTTTTGAAGCACACTACAGTACACTGTAAAACACACTTGAGTGGATGCTATGCTATGCAGCTAGTTTTTGGTAAAGAGAGGAAAGGCATTATACAACCAGTAACTTTACAGTGTTACTTACAAAGACTCCTTTTCTTTTTTCTGGTAACTTCAAACTATTCTCTCCTTCAGGTTGCGCAGTGTCATCTTCTTTTTCCTCATTCTCACTGTCACTAGGTATCTCTTCATCGTCGTCATCTTTCTTGATRCCATTATTAGTGCCAGGATAAAGTGTTTTTCTAGTTTCTGGGTTTCGTTCCAATAGTTTTTCTTGTATAATGAGGAGTTTGTACAGTAGGTTGGTTAATGCTTTTTGACCTGGAAAAGTCAGGAAAAACTAATAAGTGAACAATGTTATGAAGATCACAGAAAATATAAAGTTAAGATGCATGTACATAGCAAAGAATGTACCTTTTTGTGTCTCTGGTTTCATGTTACCATCACTAGAACAAGCAAATGTTTTACTGACATCATGTTGAGGTAGCTTGTTGGTAAGAAGCAGTGCCTTTTGTAGYCTTATGCGATATTCCAGGAAACTGTCCCAGAGATCTATATGTTGATAAAACGAAATATATACATGGCTATTAGCTCTCCCAAGCAAGAAGTTTCCAGACTTTATCTTCAAGTCTCAAGATTGCAAGAACATAAAATCTTCCAGTTTTTGGTAAAAAGGCAATTACATTAAGTGCAGTAAGGGGTGAACACTGAGAAATTATACATTAACTGAACGTACTCAACTGATGCTTGACTGCAGTTCCTTTTTCTATTTCATCTTCTGTTTTTGAAGCAGAAAAACTGCTGATTCCTGCTGTTTTATTGTCACTATTGTCTCCAAGTGTATTGCTAAGCATGTCACCACCATCATTGTCATCATCATCATCATCATCATCATCACTTGCATCACTATCATCAGCATCATCTTCAATGTCTGAATGCTCAGATGTAGATTGTTCTTCATTCTCCACCACAATTTTAGATGATTCAGAATAATATTTTTCTGAAAAAAAGTATAAAGATGAAGTGTTTAGATTCAGTCGCTGTTTCATATGGCTGCTGTCTGAGTGACGTTATTTTAACACAAGCAATAAATGAGCTATATAAGATCTTACGATACTATACAAAGATCTGAATTTCCTATAGAAACATCTATTTCGGCTATTTCCACTCCACGTGATTTTTGTGTATTTTTGAGCCGGTGTTTTTAGATCATCTTTTAGAACCCATTGCATTGTGATCTGGTAATTGTACTTACCTTCATCACCATCCTCGTCTTCATCATCCAATTCATCCGCCGAATCATCACTATCCATGAAATCTCCTCGCATTATCGCCAAATCACTTCTCGAAACAGTACGACCTTCATACTTCTGGTCCTCATCTGACAAAAGTGAAACTGCCTTCTTCCTTAACGCACCGGAACCGAAACTYTGGTCTTCTTCATCGCCCTGATTATATTTGTTTACAAGTGTAGCTCTTGTAGTGTCAAAATCGTCTTCTTCTGGGTCAAAATTCGTTGGTTCTGGACAAGAAAGAYTCTTGATTTGCTCCGCYRAGGAAGCCATCTTGGAAATGAGCGCCCTGGCCTTCMTACGCATGTTGGTTTCTACGTCAAATTTGTTATCTTCAGGGTGGGGGAGAGGTGGCTATTTTTACAATCATCTTTTTTTAAAAACAAACGATATTTTTGATAACAAGATTATATCAATGTATGTATTAATAAAGATAGTAACTTAAGGTCTATCTTTATAGAATTAATTTAGAATRTAAAGGTTTTATTGGGTAAAATTGYGAAAAAATGTTTTACCCCTCCCCTAATAAGACATAAATCTCATGGGACTAGTGACGTAATTTGTTGTGGTTCTGACAKCCCTTCGTCGGAAGAATGGCGGTCGAGCACAAAAGTTCTCGAGTTCTTGCCGACCAAAATGAGGATGTCTTTTCCTCTGGCGTCGATTATGAACCGAAAACAAGAGATAGYGACTCACCGCAATTGTCGCGACGGTCTCTGAGTCAACTAGAAGACCACGAAAAGAGCGGCATTCCTCTAAACTCGCCATGGACTTTGTGGCATGACAGGTCTGGCAAAATGGTGTTGTATTCTCTCCTTGTTTCAATCACTGYAAATCTAACCTCTTGAATGTTATTTTTTAGATATGTTCGAGGTGCAACAGCTGCAGAATATGCTGCAAATCTTCGTAAAATCTATACTTTTCACACAATTCAGGTAGYTAAAATGCGTGCAATGCAAAACCTCTGATCACTCTGGACTTTGCACAGAAGAATTTTAAACGTAGACTATTGTATTCAGCATTTAACCTTATCATATGTMAAATGCTTCTGAATGGTATGTTTTTGTCTTCAGAATTTGAGGTTTAGTGGGCATAATTTAGGTTTGGATTTAACCGCACAAGTCTTTTTCAGTAAATCCTCGATCGACATCTTTTTGTAATATGAAACTTGTAAACCATGATTGTTTTTAACGTCAGATCTAGATTGCATATAAAGCGAGCAAGTTTTGTCTCTCAGCTTGCAAATATATTTCTTTCCCGCTGTGATTTTTTAAAATTTATTGGGAACAATGACTAAACAATTATTTTTTTGGTTTAATTTTTCTCCGTTAGAATTTTTTTCGGCTTTTTTAAGAAATTTAGATTTTTATTTTTTTCACTAAAATAAATTTAATGCTGTTGTACATAATTTAGAGTTTCTGGAGTGTGTATAACAATATCCCCAAAACATCYTGCTTGGGATCCAGAGCAAGCTACCATTGTATGCGTGGAGAAAGACGGCCAATATGGTAAGTGCTGTACCTGTCTGGCCCCACCCTTATGAAAGTACTTTTGTCCATCAGTGAATAAGTTTGTTAAGACAGTGAAACTAAATTTTCATAGCATATCCATCAAGTTAGTACTAGAGTGCTGAGTTGAATGTCAAAAGGCACTAAAGTTCATTAAAATTATAATATTTTAACGTGAAGTGAAATTGACCAATATTTTGGCTATTTGAAAGTTAATTCAATTTACATTTGATTTCTTGTGTTTAAATGATTTTAATGCATAATCTTTAAAGAAACCACTTTGACACATATTGATCAGTGCTTTAGATTTTGATAACTGACCAAAAATCTTAGATTGCGTCAAAAAACTATCCTGCTATCAGAGCAGCATTAGGGCTTCTACTTATCCTTGGCACCTAAGACATTCAAACAGATAAAATGCTTTCTTTTTTACAGGGAAGATGAAGAAAATGCCAATGGTGGTTATTGGAAGATGAGATGCCCTAAACAACACACTGTAAGCTCAAAAATTATTTTCTTCATATTTAAAAAAAATGTCTGTTTCCATGGTACCCCATATTAAATGCACAGAGGCTTTTGTTTCACAAAACAAAGGAGACAGTTCTCTCCAGAAGCCCTTATCAATCATGTGAATGCTTCCTAAAAGGCTAGCATGCATTTATCTAGATTATTAAAGAGTTGATGTCCAGGTGTAAGAGTGCTATGTTGTATGTCATACATACAAACCAATATCAACCCACTAAACATTTGATAAAAAATTGCAAAGTCATTGCCGTGAAACTATCAGCAAACCTGYCAGATATTAAATCMAGAATTTGATAACACCATTATCCARTCAGATTATAGTATTCCCATCTGTCTTATTCTAGTATCAATCTAAAATATTATTTTTATATGTCAAAACTAGATGTGAGGAGTGTTGTGTGTTAAAACATTTAAGGTAGTGGTCGCCAGTGAGAGCATATCTGATAAATAACAGTAGCCACTTAACTGGCTAGGGAGACTCGGCAACGACTTCCAGTATCTTAAATGTAGATATAAACCATGTATTTATTTATCTATTTTTATTTAAGTTTTTTTATAATATTTAATAAATTGTATGTTTCTTCAGGATGAGGTTTGGAAGGARTTGTTATTGGCAGCAATTGGAGAACAGTTTGACAGCTGTATGGGAAAAGGTAAGTAAATAATACTGTTTTATTCATCAGTGTTTTTTAATACTGTCAGTGCKTTTTTCACCAGTGTCACTATTGTCAGAGTGGAGGAACATGAGATGAAAAGTGGTGCTTAAGTGTGGAAAGTAAAATAGGAATATTTAGGGAATTATTATGTTTTTTTTAGGTGATCAGGTTTGCGGTGTAAGTGTAAGTCTGCGAGACAGGGATGACATTATTCAAATATGGAACACCAATGCATCTTGTGAAGCTGATTCAACAGTAAGCTAAACCATGTTGAATATTTCTTGAATAAAAAGAAGATGGAATTGCATGAATTGATAAATCAAGATTTGCTCAAGACCATAACACAGGGAACCCAATATTTATAAGAACTGTGAATTGCTCTTTTATATTATTTCTTTTTTTCCCAAACAGATACTTGATAAAGTTTACTCTTTAGTATCACATGTGGATTTACGGGAYTCATTTTATAAATGTAAGTTATTAGTAATTACTATTTATTTCATTGGTGACATTGTTTGCAAGATGAAACATTCTCCTGTCAGACTGTTGTATATGTCAAGCCCTCCATTTAATGTAATGTATAGTAATGTTAAGTCAAGATGAAAGATGTTTCCTCATGTACTCATGAGTGTTTTTGTTAGTTTGACTGAGTAAACAATTGTAATAATGGATTTGTTATCTGTCAGAAAACTGTATCATCCTGACAAATAGACATCTGAACCTTTTACGTCACTACTTGATTTTCAATGCATTGTGGGATCAATTTCAAGAGAAAACAAAAGAAATCCGCCATGTTCTGTCCCAAACATATCCTACAATGCATTGCGTATACGGTACATGACGTAAAAGCTGCAGAGGTCTATTTTCCCTATAGGGGGAGGGCTGGCAATATTTGTACAAAGGCTTACATAAACGCTCCAGTTGCACAATGACTTCCCTTTAAGCATCAAAATAGTACTAGTGTATACAAATGTATAATATAGTCCTCCTTTATCTAAGATCGATGTACCAGAGAGTATACTATTATAAATTAGATTAAAACTATAAAAAAATATATAAACAAAAAATATAAGTCCTCCAAAAAATATTGACAACATTGCCAATTTGGCAAAAAAATCTTCAATTATTAGTGAGATCAGAAAAAGTACCCTGGTAACTGTAGGAGAAACATATGGGCAGTTATTTCAATTTGTTTGATAGTTTTCCAAAATGATAAAAGTTTTGTTTTTTTTTTTATTTAAGGTCATAAAGAACACAGTGCATTTGAAGGACAGCGATTCAGTGCAACAAAGCCTCCAGGTTTTCCTTATGGTCATAATTAATTTTATATCTAAACATCTTGATTTATTAAGTTACTGTGAAATCCCTTGTAGATCATGATGAAAGGGGGATGGAGTGTGTATAAATGTCATTCGTGATTTGTGATGAGAAGTATTTTMATACTAGGAAAAAAAGTCCAAAATGCTTGATACTGAAAATCAAGAATACAAGGGCTTTCAGAGTAAAATTGATTTTGAGTAGTTATGATGTCTCATGCAGTCATCTCCATGCAGGGAAGTGTTTTCAAGTTATTTTTGTGAAATTTTGTTTTGGGTTTGTTTTTGAAATTTTCTTGTAAAATTAAAAAACTTTCCTTTTTAGCCTCATTTAAGTCTAGAAGAATTTGAAAAGAAAATCCAAACAATTTTTTGAAATAGCCATAAAGTAGGTCTTTTGTTCTTGAGAAAAGAGAGGAATAAAAGTGAAAAAAGACCAAAAAAAAGAAAGTTAATAGAAAAGAAAAAGTACCAAAAATTTGACACGACCCAACCCTTCATAGGGTTCTTACAATAATTATTACGTAGCTGAAAGCCAAACCTGCATACAACTTATAATATGCATAAAAAAATATAAATTTAAGTATAGTTTAACGTCGGGCTTCCTGTGCCTGGAAAAGCACAGGAAGCCCAGCACTAAAACAGACTCATTCTTCATAAAAGTATTACTTGGTAGYGCCCTTGTAAATTTTTATTTCATTCATATACATTAGTTTTAGGGTCTAGGTATCCTTTCTGCAACTCATCATGTACAAAGTTTTTGTTATTTTTCAACTCCTTATATATAGTGTATATTGTATGTTATCATCGCATAAAGAATAAAGATTTTCGCATTTGATTTTAGTTTTTATTATAACAAAGGGCTGTAGGAGTAGTGTACAAGAAGTTGCGGAGAAAGTAATATGGTTTTTCTGAGCTCARTTATCTGAGAAGCCATGGGTTAACTCACCTCATTTCCATTAGCAGTTACGCTCAATTCAACAAATAAAGATTTGGCAAATGTAGCGCTTAGCCATGTGGGATCGGCATGAAAATCATTTAAGAGCATGCGCGATAAGAATATTGTGGATCATGATTTGTATGCATGAAGAGYCTTTGTTCCCGGTAAAAAAATTTATCTCGTTATCATGCTAACTTATTCTTTCTCTTTAAATCTCTGGGAACATTATATTTTGGCCACAAATTAATAATGTAATGGTAAAAACTATTTTTGATCTTGTTTTAAAAACGTCGTGTATTGCGTGCGTGTGTGTGTAGAAGTCAAGGTCAAATAGATAAGCAGATAATTCGATCAACGATATGCATTGACCAATACACGTGAAATTCGACGTACTTCAATTTCAAATTAAGAATTTTACTTCCACTCACATCAAATTATTCTACATTTTTTTGCCGAGTACTCCAATATTTATCACTTTTCAATTTAGTACTCCAATATTTATCACTTTTCAATTTATTTTAATATATTATTTGCAAATCTAAATTGTCAGAATTAAGATTTAATGAATTTGGGTAGTAGTGTTTTATTATTATTTGCACTTGAGCTTGTGTAAATTAAATTCTTATTATGTATTTTTTAATCTAATACGATAAATATTGATCGGTGGTTGCCGCTGCGAATTGTGATTAAAAAACAACCTATAATATTTAATATATACATGAATTTAATCTTCTTGATTTATTGTATCTTAACAGGGGTCTCTTGCCCAATTTACAATTTGGCGATGTGTTGATATGACATGTTGGCGAAAACAACTTTGTGCCTCAGCTATCGATACACCTATTGTGAAAGTTTATTTTAAAACCACTTTCCGTTGCAGCCTATTATTGTGTCRCTCCATTTCCCTTCTTGTGGGGCATGAAACGGGATAAAGCGAGACCTAAACGAAATCCTTCACCAATACATGAATATTAATGACCATTATTGATCACCCATAGTATTTTAAGCTCATTTTATTCTGGTATTTTTTTAGCAATTTTAAATCTGTCAGTAGCTTCTTACAGATGTCTGCTTTGTATCCTCCGCTCTTAGCGTTTTACGGTTACGGGATCCGCCAATCGTGTTTTGTCAGACAAATCAAGTGAATTTGAGTTAAGGAACCAAGCTGTGTGACAAAAGATGTGCAACCTCAGTGACGCAAATCGGGTGTCAACAAGCTGCTAATTCTTRTGATCAAAATCCAATTTAATTAAGTAAAATTAGTATTGATAACACTTGAGTGCTTCATTCAAAATCTACGCACTCTACATTGTCTGTCCGGTCGATGTCAGATATTCAATTGTCCTAGTTTCGGTGATTATGTTTTGAGTATGYCATGTTTGTGTACCCATAGCTGTCGTTAATAGATGCCGTTTGTGATTTGCAAACTTCCGTTGGTCATTTTGTTGATGCGAATAAAATTAAAACCACATCTTGTTTACACAGTGCTGGCACATGACATTCTTATTGTTGTCATGTAGATCTAGTCGGATTTKTATGCCATACTTATACCTCAATCGCGTCGGCATGTTTCTTTTTCATCAGTGAAAATATATTAGGTGTATCGGAACGATCAGTTCAAAAAGCTGCTATCAATGATTTRATAATTTACAATAGCGATTACACTGTGATTGCTTGAAGCTGGAAGGTGTTGCAATTTGTACGTCCTACTGTGTTTGTACGTTTGTTTGGTCAAGAATTAACGACCCGCCATTGAGATGGCCGTTTCACCAACTAAGGTTAGCAGTATGGAGAACCTAGTTCCAGAGGAGACCTACAGAAAGTCAAAACAAGCATACATTAAGATTGTGGCGGCCTTGTTCATAGCTTGCGTTATAGCTGTTGTTATGACCTGTCTGTTTGCATGGAAAATAAGTGAAGATACAACATCAGCTCCAGCGAAAAGCAGTCCTGTGAGAGGCGTTCAAACTAACAACGATTTTTGCCCTGGACTACCGCCTATACTCCCCAAACTGCCTTCACCATTGCCAGAAGAACTTCAAGCAAGTCTCAGGACGTTTAGTACTTATTTAGGGAATTTAGTTCAAGAAAACGGCTTGCCCGCCATTTCTGCAAATGCTTATTACAAAGATTCTATTCTGTGGAAAGGGCACTACGGTAGAAAGACACTTGAYGGGGAAAGGCCTGACGATACGACTCGTTACCGCATAGGAAGCATTAGTAAGATCTTTCCAGTCCTTATGGTGTACATGCTGTATGAACAAGGAATTATTTCCTCCATCGATGACCCTCTGAATAAATACGTGCCTGATTTTGTGATTAATAATCCATTCACTAACGAAAGTATCACGCTGAGACAGATAATGAACCAACTGTCAGGTCTTCCGCGCGAAGCTCCTTGCGTTTTATGCAACAGAAACGAGACAACCGAAGAGCAACTTATGTTCTTAAAGAATCAAAGTCTCGTCGTGGATCCGGGAACGGTACCGTCTTACAGTAACCTTGGATATGCTTTGTTGGGTCGATTGTTTACAGAAAGAGTCATCAAGAATACGACATTTGAGGAGTGGACTAAGGATAATATTCTGTCACCGTTGGGATTAAATCACACAGGATTTTCCTTTACCAGTGACGTAAAAAAGAACATGGCCTTTCCGTATGACAAACAAGGCCAACTCCTGCCAATTTTAAACATCGGCTGGTTAAGCCCTTCTGGCCAAATGTACTCGACTATAGAAGAATTAGCGCGTGTTGGAATGTTCCTTATGGGTTCCAAAAAGAGCGACAAAATCGGCATCAAGCAGAGCAGTCTTCGAGAGATGTTAGCTCCATCTTACGTCGCACCTGATGGGCTCACCATGTGGGGGTCCCCTTGGGAAATATTCTTGCGCGAACATTTTATAATTCGAACAAAGGGTGGCTCCATAGATGGAATGAGTGCAATGATGGTTGTTATACCTGAAGTGAAGCTTGGTTTTAACGTGTTTTTGAGCGCTGTTGCGAATTTTTCTGTTGGTGCTTTGATAGGCAACACCATTACTGATCGATTTATCAAAGATTTTCTTCCGGTTTTTAATAGCACTCTTTTTACTATCAACGAGGAAGGGGACTTTCCAGTTAAACCAAAACTATACACTGGCACCTATAATATCACACGTGTAAATATATAYGCACCAACAGATAAGATTTTAAACTACCAAGCTACCATAACGGCAAGTGGCAGTAAACTAATTTATAAGGATAATGGAGGTTTTCCAGAAGTTTCTCTATATTATATAGGATACGAATTGATTTTGCAAGGAAAGGTATTTAGCAGCTCGTGTTTTACCCAGAGAATGGGTACAGTGTCGGCCTTTCATTTCAAGCCCGCTGGTGCTGATGGACTATCACCTGGTTTTGCTGTTCCACAGATGGGTATTTCAAGCGTGCGGGTCTCTGTGTAGGTCATCCAATCCCTGTTTTCACATTGGGGGCTCTCGATTCCATCCAACACTTATTTGCATTYGTTAAAAAAACTAGAAGGAAAGCGCATGATCCAACAAAGTTGATAAGAGCCATGGGCACCAGAAGTAAGCTTTCGTTTCTGTTTTTTTTTTTCGCATATGCCACAGGATTTCACTTTCACGGTTTTCAAGAAACTTATACCGTTATCTATGTATATTGTTTCTTTTTAATTGCTCATCGTAGTTCAGTAAACTTCAAAACAATAAAAGAAAAAAAGGTCTTAATGAAACTGCACATGCGGTATAACTGAAAATCAATATCACTACGAGCGACGCTTAGAAAATGTATTTGCAAATATATATCTAATATATATCCAAGTATCTTGCTTTAAGATAAGGATCTTATAGTATTACATACCGTATATATATTTTTTTCGATTATATTGTAAAATATCGTAAAATTCAAGTCATATTATTTTATTGGATAATAATTTGATTGATGTAACAAACTTTTAATATCGGTCGGATTTTGAAATTTTTCACGAAAATAAAAAATGATTTTAACTACATTCTGGTATACTGTTTTTCACTATTTCCTTGATCTCCACACTCCCGGCTCCCTCCCCTCATTGAACAACGCGTAGCCCGGCTTCTTGGGATGCCTGTGGAAGAAAGAACAGGTTTCCCGTACTTACAAAATGKCAGCCATTTTGATAGCTTCATATTGTAGGACGACGTCGAGGACGTCAGAATAATTTCAACTCTTACCCCTCCTTTGACACACAGAAAACACAATGTTTGAGGAAAACTAGAGGAATTGATAAGGTCGAATAGACGAAACTAGTTTTCCTCAAACATTGTGTTTTCTGTGTGTCAAAGGAGGGGTAAGAGTTGAAATTATTCTGACGTCCTACAATATGAAGTATACAAACTCCTTTAAGGTCCAAGTCCGACAAATTTCAAGACATTTTGATAGCTTTGAGTGTAAAGTGGGTCTGCCACAAATATCAGGTAAGAACAAACGTAAGTTGCTGAAAATTACGTAGTTTGTTTTTCATGTCCTTCAACTTTGAAAAGTAAATTTGAAAAATCTTTTCCAAGCCAATCTTTAGAGGAAATCTTTTAATTTCTGTTTTATATTAACTTAGAAAATGTGACATGACAAAAAGTAAGCTTTTTTTTTTGTCACAAACCTTGCCCTTCCAAACGCCTGTTGAAATGAATTTCACGACTAAGAAGAGCTGTGGATTTAAGCTAACATTTTCATTAGGCTCAAGTGATATTGTAAAACATTTTTTATCAAATTATTTTCAAGTAATTGTCTTGGTCCAAAGACATAACAAGCTCTTGTACTCTATAGTATTACATTATATGTTTATTGCGAGCTATATTTTTGTTTTTACATTATATGACGACAAGCTTGTCTTCCACTTGAAAGGACTCAAATTGAACTTTACATCTTTTTTTAATGAACAGAACTAAAGTATGTTTTATCTCCAAAGAAGTGAGTTATCATAACAAGAGGTTAAATTTTAGGTTGGGCAAAGGTGAAAATCAGAAAAAAAAGTATAGGTGATGGCACATTTGCTTGCCACAATCACCTATCCTATCAGAAACACTACTGAGCTTTTGATACTGAGCTCAAAAAGAGAGTGTGGGTAAACTTCAWTTAGCTTTAATATTCTTGAATATCAATTCAGCATTTTCCTATGACAGGATATTGTAAAACATTTCATCTAGATTTTCTGGTTTGTCTACCTTAGTTGAAATACTCTCTTTCTCACTGAGGCGGACCCCCTTAACTTTTACCGATTTGGAACTGAATCGCCATGATAGGCCATCACGTCCGGGGGGTTCAAACTCAATAGTGCCATACATACCAAAGTGGGAGGTCACACAYGGAGTACCATGTGCAGCCTGATTTGAGAATCCCTGAAACACTAACGGATTACCAAAGTATATCAGAAGAAAACCAAGCTCTCTGAGTATCGGAATTTCTGGAACCACCTTCAAGACATTCTGGTCTTCAACAATTGTAGCATTAATAACCCCTGTCTTTCCCGTCAGCATACTAGTCTGAGACACTTGAAATCTTCCAAGGAACGGTTTTGCAGGCACAGGAAACGATGCACCTCTCTTCATTTCGTATAACGTTTCGTTTAGAGGTGGAATCAACGTTGCATGTACAAAATCGGCTACTTTGAAGCAGGTATAGCCTTTGTTTTTCAGAACAGGGGCGTTATTTACTAATACACTCAACGCCAGCTTAAGTTCAGGTATAACGGAGAATACTGCGTTGTAAGTTTCAACGTTGCCGCCTTTTTGACGGGCAAGGAAGTGGTTGGTAAAGCGCATTTCAAACGGCGAACCCCACAGCCAAAACCCATCGTTAGTGATAAAATCAGGAAGCAACATCTCRCGAAGTGTTTCTGGTTTGAATATCGATTGTTCTTCTGGATAAAGAAAGATTTTGGCGAGTTTCATGAGGTCAGTTGTCGTTGAGTACATATCACCTGAAACGAAAAACAGTCCAATGAAAGGGCAATTCTATTCAGGCGCGTAGCGTGGACGTTTTGGCTAATACGCATATGTCCGGTACCGCGACACGTATTTTGGAATGGGGGGCTAACGATCTCCGAAGGCGGGAGTATTAAGAGGGTTCAGGGAGTCCTCCCCCAGGAAATTTTGAAATAAGAACTATTGGAAATGCGATTTTCAGCGTTTTGAGGGGCATCGAGAGCATATAAAAGGCATCAAATCCCGAAAATTTTAATATTTCCTTCCCACTAGTACGCACGTGCGCATCTGCGTAAAGGACTCTACGCGCCTGCTATTGACTCTATTGCCATCGATCGTGTACGGCCCGAGGGGGAGTTACCGGCCAACGTGTAGCTGTTCTCCAGCCAGCAAGCTGCTACAATCTTATCATGCAAAATAAACGAAACACCCTACCCCCCCCTTTCCCCACTGTAAAGTTGCACACACATTCCTGTCYTCATCATTGTCGATCGATTTTGTAGCAATGCATTGACGAGTAACATTGTAAAAGGGGAGGGGGGGTTGTAGTAACACAATCATAGACGGTGTTTCACACAATTTTGCAAAAGATTGTAGCTTATTGGTCTAGTAATGTTTACTCCCTGTAGTAGCATTCAATGTTTTGGGCAAAAACACTCACCCTACCATTAAATTTTCAACGCATTAATAGTTCCGAGCTTACTGTGTATAAAAACTATTATTGGACTGCAAGCACTTTTATTTGGTRTTTGTCATAATTTTGGCTGCGCGAACGTCCGGAAAACGTGATCTGAATGAACTAGCGTTAAAAGCAACTACTCAGAGATGGGGTTTACAATTTCCAATTAGTCACGCATACATACCAGCTGGACCAGCCCATCCCAAATCCATRAAGGGCATCACGGTACCATTGGGAAARTAAGGCAAAGCCATGTCCTTCTTKACAGCCTTTGTTATCTCAATACCAGTATTTTTCATTCCAAGTGGAACAAGAATATTCTCCTTGACCCACGCTTCGAATGTTGTATTAAGAAGGTTCTGAGTCAAAAGTCGCCCTAGCAATGCGTAACCAAGGTTGCTGTACGAAGGGATTGTGTATGGTTTAACTACAAGATATTGAGACTGGAGCAAGGCCAGTTGTTCCCTTGTTGTTGTGTTTTTGCACCGGTATCCGCATGGTGCTTCTCGTGGTARCCCCGACATTTGACTTGCAATTTGCCGGAGTGTAATATTATCGTTAGTTTTGTCGCCAAACGGATTCTTGATGGAAAAWGTRGGAGCATATTTTTCAAGAGGGTCATYGAGTGACTYTATAATTCCATCTTCGTATAATTTATAGAGCAAAAGCACCGGAAAGATTTTTGTCACGCTTCCGATGCGATATCTTGTGTTATCATCAGGGGGTAGAGACCCTTTGAACACCTTGCTTCCATAATTCCCGGTAAAAATGGATGTATTTAGGTAGACAATTTTGATAGACATTGCTGACAAGTTTCCTGTTACTTCTGGACTCTCTACAAGATCGACAAGATGAGTATTGATGCTGTTCAATGCCTTTTTGATTCGTGTTGGGAATGGAGTKGGAAGTCGAAACAATGGCGGGTGTCGAGGGCAAGGGACGTCAATATTCGGCAAAGTAGTTGGAGCATCTCTTACTTTCTCTTGGTTTTCTGGTTTCAGCACAACCCATACAAATAGCGAAGTCATGACAGCAGCAATGACGAAGAAAATGAGCGTGAGAATTGGCCATATCATCGAGCCACGACGAACCTTTGTTTCTGGTAGAAGCATTTTTGACTTTTGTTTCGTGGCTTACCTATGTGTGTCTTCGTGAGATAGGAACTTGTCACCGTTGAAATTTCACATATATTAAGCTAAAATGAATTAGTTCAGGATCCGTTCAGTGAAGCTTAAGGSCGATCACATGACAATCGATTTAGTTTCACTCGGCGTCTACATAAAAACAACATAAACTTGACTCCTGTCAAGAGGTTTACTCACTGACGTTGCGTGACACATGAGGTCACAATGTGGTGTGGGGATTATTTATGTCTTTGCCTCAGCTTTCCTCCGTTTTCTCAGTCCTGAATTTATGGTAGCTCTATGTCTGTATCTTCTTTCCACGGTTTTATTTTCTGTATAATACAATTAAAACACTCCTTTTTGTCGTATTAAAAGATGATTATGAATGCTACTGGTTCCATTAGTGTTATGCTAATATAGATCTATGTAAATATAGATTTGCAGTTGTCTGCATCAGTTCACATTGACTATGCCCATATATGGCGTCTGCTCATGCATTTTAGTGTCAGTGAACCCCCCTCCCCCTCCCAAATAAATAAAAGAGCCTCCCTCTCCTCCCCCCCCAAACAAAACCAAAAAGCATATCCCTGCATCTAGGGTTATCTCTCTTTCCTATTCATATATGAAAAAGTTATCATGTATGTAAGGGAGAGTAGGAAATTTTTTTTTATAGATAAAGAGATGGTTCCCAATCTGATAAAAGTACATTGGAAAAGACGTGACTTTGAAATGAGAGTTGTCAATCTTTGGGGTACAGTTGTGTAAAAAGATAAAAATAACGCCGTAAAAAAGTAGGTGAAATAACTTACTGACGTTTCGGACGTTAATCCTTCGTCGGAGTTCAGAGGGAGTGAGTCAGAGGGAGTAGGTTATTGGGATCCGGTTATTGTACACTTTATAAATAAAGAGATCCCTAAGAAAACAACGCGAAACTCATGCTATTGTCAAGTAGAGTAAACGCACTTGAACCGAAAAATAAACTCTAAAAAGTAGTATATATTGGTCTGTATTTAAAGTMAAAAAACCCGTGAAATAGATATTACACCTTAGTACGCTCCAATCGCATTTGTTTCTATACAAAAGTTTTGATATGAAGAAAGCCAATATGAAATCAACGATGATGATGATAATGATGAATAAAAAAGAAACTTATATTACTTTATACAATCCACACTGAACACAGCGATCTTTCCAATGGATGTGAAGTGTTATATTCGTCTTGCACTGATCTGCCATTCTTTAGATGAAAATGCTCTCGATAAACCGTCTTCTCCTGGCTGCTCAAACACCATTATAGCGAATGCACCGAAATGGCTCGAAGTGCATTCTTTTCTATTTTTAACAAAGTTATAGGTGGCTCTAAAAACTAAAGGATTTCCGATATAATTCATGAAAAAGCTATAGAAGCTAGGAGATTCTTCAACAGGCTGCACTCGAAGGGAGACATCGTGTTCATCTATAATGACAGTTAAGTTTTCAAACACTCCAGTGACCAAGTTCTCTCTTGACAGTATGTATTTCCCAGTGAATGGCTTAGCAGAGATTGGAAAATGGCGCCATTTTTGCATTTCAAAGAGGGTCTCGTTAAATGCAGAAATCAAGTCTTTGTGGAAAATATCTACCAATGCAAAGCCAATACCTTCGACTCCGGCTTTCACATTAATCAATGTACAAAGGCCTAATTCCAGTTCTGGGATGACTGAAAAAACCGCGTTATAACTATCGATGTTTCCTATTTTTTGTCGAATGAGATAGCCTTYGACAAATCGCATCTCCCAAGGCGATCCCCACAACCATAATCCATCGCGCGTGATAAAATCAGTAAGCAGCATTTCGCGTATGGAGTCTGGTTTAAAAAGTTGTTGATTGTCGGGTTGTAAGAATATTCTTGCTAGTTTCATCAGGTCTTCTGATGTAGAGTACATTCCTCCTAAAAACAATGAACAAACAAAACTGAGTCAAAAATACAATTGATGTAAAAAAAAATCTTACTCTCTACTGCTAATCTAGGTCTTTTGCATGAAACGATCACGTGGTACTAAATCCGCCATACTGGATGGCAAAATACCCACTTGAATGTTCAAAACAAAGAAAAGTCAAGCTTGACGGGCTGCGTTCCTTTTGTTTTTTAGGTTATTTACATTCTTCTTCCCATTGGCAGTATGGAGGATTTAGTGACCATTCATGCAAAAGCAACCAGTTGAACCCCTCTGTGCCCTCTGATGTTGAATAGCTCAGCTAAAGTTAACAATGCAATAAATTGCCTACCTAAACTTATTTTGACTTCCGGAGAGGTTGCTCCGGACATTTCTATGGTCAAACATTCCAAATCTCAGGAATTTGGAATGGCACAAATGAAAATGCAACCAGGAAGCTAATTTTAAAACGTTTTCATGTAGAATGCGGCCTAACCTGCAGGATTCGCCCATCCGATGTCACTTATAGTCATAAGTGATCCATTCCTGAAATATGGTAAAGCCATGTTTTTTTTCGTGTCCTCGTTAATCTCAAAACCCGTATTCTTCATTCCAAGAGGATTAAGGATTTCATCTTGAACCCACTTTTCAAAGGGTTTGTTAAGGAGGTTCTCGGTTAATATTCTTCCTAGCAAAACGTAACCAAGGTTACTGTAGGAAGGAATTGTCCATGGTTTAACCACAAAATGATGGTCCTTTAATAGAGCCAGCTGCTCTGACGTAGTGGTGTTGTTACAGTAATATCCACATGGCGATTCCCTTGGTAGCCCTGACATTTGATTTGCAATTTGCCTCAATGTAATATTATACTTTGTACCTCCAAATGGATTCTTGATGGAAAAGTTAGGAGCATACTTTATAAGAGGCTCATCGAGTGAGGTTATAACTCCATCTTCGTATAACTTATAGAGCAAAAGAACTGGAAAGATCTTTGTCACGCTTCCAACGCGATACCTTGTGTGATCGTTAGGGGCCAGAGACCCTTTGAAGACTTTGCTTCCATAATTCCCAGTGAAAATAGTTGTATTTTGGTAAACAATTTTGATAGACATCGCAGACATGTTCGCTGTTCCTTTTGAGTTTTGTACGGCATCAATCAAATGAGCATCGATGCCGTTTAATACCTTTTTGATTTGATTTGGTAGAGGAGAAGGAAGTCTAAACAATGGCGGACGCTGAGAACATGATGTTGAGCTCRTYATTTCGTGATTGCTTGTCTTCGTTTTCTGCTTCTCGACGGGTTTTAAGACGACCCATAAAAACAGGGCTGTCATCACAATAACAATGACGAAAAATATCATAGCAAGAATCARCAATACCTTCAGCAAGCGAGAATCTTTAGTTTCAGTGAAATGCAGTGGGGCATCCATTTTATGGTAACTATCAAAATTAATGAAGTTGAACAGTTCACTGACTCCACAAGAGCTGTCTGGGTTGAAATATTGAAAGAATGTTTACAGGCTCCTCAACCACTTGAAAACAAGTGCTTGAATGTGTCAATACGTTTGATGTAAAATAGCGCCAAAAGAAATGAGATTAGCGATTCGAACGGGAAAAGCAAGTCAAAGTGATAAAGATTACTTCCGCTTCAGTTCAGTCGTAATTTTTTTCAACCTTCACATGATTAAACCTGATACCACYTCTAGTAAAAAATATAATCCACATAGCGCTCAGGGTCACAAGTTTATTAGTTTTTTGATGTTTTTTTGTGATAAACCGGGCTAAATATGCCAACGTTTTAATTCAAAAGGTCASAAGAATTATAACAGCAGTCGGTAGATAAACTAGACGCTCTTGGAGCGTAAAGTCGGAAAATTGAGAAAGACAGTAAAAATATATATTTCTTATTTTCTTTTTCAAAAAAGCCGAATTCAGCTTGTTYTAATTTGAAATCTTTGCCCACACAAGACTGTCTAACGCTAGAAGGTTTCGTAAGCATACTACTCGAAGCTACATGYGATCTGCACATGCGCGTACTATTGATGCCTAGACAGATGCATTCCGATGAGATCACAGATACCACATTTGTAAACGAATAGTTTTTTATCACATAAAAGCGTTCGGCCTAGCGTTCGGCTAGTCCGGCTAAAACGTTACTCTGGGTGAAAATGACATTTTGTGTTTGTACACATCATCAGGATATATTAGTCTCTAGGGGGAGGGGGTGGGTAAAAGAGGAAGGGGGGGGGTATTTTTGACTCGCTACTCGTGCTATGATGTATACACTGATAGGACAGATCCTTCTGTCAACAAATGTCCTGAACTATAAAAAACAACAAATTGAGAAATTAGAATATTAATAATTAATATTAATGTTCTTTAATTTGCCATGCAACAAACAAATAGAAGAAACTAAGCATCCGGACCTTAATTCAGCGTTTAATAATTTTAAGCATGACGTCATCTTTTGGCAGCATCATCACCGTGGCTACATGCTCAAGGTCAGCGGTCTGAGGACACCTTTCAAACTTGTATTTCTCTATTATCATCGACAAGGTAGCTTTCACTTCGATTGAACCAAGCCTCTTGCCGATGCA